AGAGAGAGACAGAAAGACAGAGAGAAAGAGAGAGGGAGAGACAGAGAGACAGAAAGACAAAGGGAGGCAGAGGGAGAGAGGTGGGGGAGAAAAAGACACAGGGAAAGACACACAGAGGGAGGGAGGGAGAGAGAGAGGGAGGGAGGGAAAGATGGAGGAAGAGAGAGAAAATGAGGGCGGGAAAAGAGAGAGAGAAAGAGACAGAGGAAGGAGAGAGACAGACACACAAATGCACGCACGCACGCACGCACGCACGCACGGGGGCCAGGAGAGGCAGAAGGGAGGCAGAGATACTAGGGTTACTCCATCCTTCCCAGCCCACGCTTCCAGCCCACCTCAGCCCCACCCAAAGTGCCTCCTTCTCCTCCTCCATCTTAAGTATGTGTTCCTGAGCTGCTTTTTGGGCGTGTTTGTGTTGCCATGTCCGTATCTCTCTGGACAGGGTGTGCTGGCCTGATTGTGTGTGTAGGCCTATACTTCTCTGGATTGTATTTTTCTGTTGTGGGTTTGTGAGTTGCAGTGTGTGTCTTTATGCAGTGTGGCTTGTGAGCTTGTGAGGTGAACCTTCTAGAACAGGTTCCCCCCCCATTCAACAATTTGGACCCGAAGAAGCCTTCTTCCTCCTCCTCTCCCTCCCCCTCCCTCCCCCTTCCCCCCTCCCCCGAATCTTGGCCCTTGCCAGGCACACAGACACAGGCTCCCAATTCTAACAGACACAAAAACTAGACCACAGACATACAGATCACACACACTCGTTCACACACACGTGCGCGCGCGCACGCACTTTATACAATGGATTCACAACCTCAGGACACACACACACACACACACACAATACGTGCAAAAGATCTCACAAAGCCAATACCCAGAAACACCCAAGGCCGAGAGATCAGCCTCTTTGTAATCTCTAATGTCTCCGTATATACTCACACCCAATACGGAGACACACTCCGAGGCTCGCAAGCCAACCTGGGTGCGCACAAGCAGCCGGCTAGGTGGTTCCGAAAGGGGGAGGAGCTGGCCTGCCTCTCCCCGCCCCCCATCCTCTGTCTCGGTCTGTCTCTTCTCTCTCCTCTCAATCAGCACCAGTGACTGGCTGCACAGCCCCCCCCCCCCGCCCCCCACTCCCCCCCCAGGAGGTGGTGGCTCCTCCCCCACTCAGTGGAGACAGAGAGAGAATGGGAGGGACACAGAGGCGGAGGGAGAAATGGAGCCAGAGAGGAGCTGAGGCAGGGAGACGGCCAGGCTGGCCACAGCCTGGGGTCCCCTTCAAAACAGCCCTGCGAGGACCCCAGGCTGGCTGGTGCCCATTGTTCAAATTCCTGCCACACACCAATAGACTAAGATAAGCCCCCATCCCCCCCCTCCCGCCCCCAGCTTCTAACTCTGGGCTGGGCACCTCAGTGCCGCCCTCATACTTCTCGGATCACAGACCTGACCAGACACATGCGCCTCTCCTTTAGGCCTGAGGTCAGACAGACAGCAAAAGCTCTGTGTCGAAGAGAGGATCTGGTCTCCTTCCCCACCCCACTTCCTGCCCACCCACAGTCACTGAGAACAGCCAGGGATAATGAGAAAGAAACACAGAATAACACGGGGGCGGGGGTGGGGGTGGGGAAAGGGGAGGAGGCACTGATGACCAACAGTTTCTGCAGGACTCCATTTTGGGGGAGTGGGGGAAAGGTGGGTGGTGAGCCAGAAAGACTGAGGTAGACTAAGAATGGGCAGAGGCAGGGAGAAGGAGAAACAGGCAGACAGAGACATGGTGAAGAGATGGAGACATGAAGGAGGGAGAGAGACTGAAAGATGGCCAGAGAGAGGAAAGGAGAGATGGAAAGAGAAGGAAACAGAAAGCAATAGAGACAAAGAGGGTGCAAGGAGAGAGAGAGAGGGAGAAGGAAATGAAGAGAACAAAGACGCTATGGGGAGACGGAAGGAGGGGAGGATCCAGAGAGATATGGGGAGACAGGGGGAGATACAGACAGATATGGGCACACATGATATACAAAGAAAGACTGTAATGAAGCAAAAAGATAGTGAAAGAAGAAATACATGGTCGGAGGCAAAGGAGACAGATGCAAATAAAGGAAAAGATGGGGTGGGGTAACGTGGGCATACAAGAGGGAGACAAAAGGGGGGGAGTCAGACTGAGGGAGAGGCAGAAGGAAGCAGGGAGACAGAGGCCAGAGCCAGACTAAGATCCAGAGCAGAAGACAAAGCAAGGAAGCCAAAAAATATACGAGAGAGACAGAGATAGGGAGACAGAGACAGAGATAGGGGGACAGAGACAGAGATAGGGGCACAGAGACAGAGATAGGGGCACAGAGACAGAGATAGGGGGACAGAGAATCCCGAAGGAAACCACGACAAAGGGGAAGGTGAAAGAATGGAGGGGGGAGTTGGGGGGG